GGTCTTGCCTACATATTGCATGCCACAGCAACAGGTAATTAGATATATCACCCGTGTTGAGCTGCAGTTGATGAATTCCCTGACCACATATTCATTTTTGGTCTTAGAGCTTTTGACTGTTTTTGTTGGTTTAATGAACTGACAAGCTTTGCAGTGCCCACATCGGAATACTCCAGTTGTTTGCTTTAGCCAAGTAGATTGTAATGACTTAGCGGGTTCTGTATGGCTGTGAACAAGAATGTCTTTCAAATTCTTAGCTCTGCGAGCAGTCATCTGAGGAAATTTCTCAATGCTATCACTTAAATCCATATCATGTTGCAAAATGGGCCAATTGCGAGAAATAATTTCTCGTATCTTGTCCCAATAGGGGTCGTATGTGCCAATACACCGAGTTGTTTTTATTTCAGTCCTGGGTCTGATACTTCTCAAACTGTCACTCCGATTAGTGGACAGAGCTCGTTGGTAGGCTCGTTTCAGAACCCTATTGGGATAGCCCTTTTGTTTGAACATTAATCTCAATTTCTTTGCTTCTAATTGGAAGGTTAGTTCATTAGAGCAATTTCGTCTTGCACGTAAATATTGGCCGTACGGTTGGGGTCGATTAAACAATTCCAGGATCTAGTGAATCTATTGAACACCAATAATATTGGCCTTCAACTTACTTACGTGATAGATCCAGAACATTTGGTTTTTCTGGATCTAGATATCCAAATACAGGAGGATGGGAAAATTGAAACCATACTTTTTAGAAAAGACACAGCAACTAATAGCTTATTAAATTGGACAAGCTTCCATCCTATTAAATTAAAATCTGGGATACCGTACGGCCAATATTTACGTGCAAGACGAAATTGCTCTAATGAACTAACCTTCCAATTAGAAGCAAAGAAATTGAGATTAATGTTCAAACAAAAGGGCTATCCCAATAGGGTTCTGAAACGAGCCTACCAACGAGCTCTGTCCACTAATCGGAGTGACAGTTTGAGAAGTATCAGACCCAGGACTGAAATAAAAACAACTCGGTGTATTGGCACATACGACCCCTATTGGGACAAGATACGAGAAATTATTTCTCGCAATTGGCCCATTTTGCAACATGATATGGATTTAAGTGATAGCATTGAGAAATTTCCTCAGATGACTGCTCGCAGAGCTAAGAATTTGAAAGAC